TAAACGTACCGGTAGTTCCATTTTCACTATGAAACAATTTTAAGGAGGGCGCGGACGCGCATGGACTTGTAATGGGATGTTCCGGCGAAGAAGGAAAAAGTGTGCCCCCCCTGCACCAGGCGCCAAACCCGCGTTTTATCGTCGTCTGGCGCTTGCCGTTGCCATATCCAACATAGATTCCGACCCTTCATATGTGAGCGACTTCATAGGACACTGCAGCGTTAACAAAAGTCAATCGATGTCCTTTACGCGACAGGCTGATGTTTCGACATCCCGAAATGCACGCGAAACGGAAACTAAGGAGGGAGGTTACTGCACCCATATTGTCACAATTGATAGTCGCATGTCGGTTCGTGACGCTCGTCGGTTTGCTACCTCGGTGCCAAGCGCAGCGCATATCGGGACCGTACGGCGCGCGCAGTAGCCGGAGCAGCGGCAGTCTTTCGGTGAGAATACTGAGCTGCGTGTTCCATGTCATGTTCTATTGCAGAGGTGCAGCTTAAGCAAACTTGCAGATCTGAGAGACCTCGCCGCCTGGACAACGATAAAAGCTGAAATCACCCACACAAAGGATCTAACTTTCCAGACATATTCATTGATAATAACTAGCGTAGTATTTGTAGGCGGAACACATAAACAGCAAATTCTTGCTGATTGCTCTTGCAAGCACTTGCTAGACAGATGAGCACCACAAAACAACTTCAAATCCGCAATGGAACGCATCAAAATGTGTCAATCAGGGCAAACAGACGCGCACGCCCATTCGTTGCTGCGGTGCGGGCCAGCGTGCAGCGGAGCCATCAACACCAGGAGCCTTCGCGGCAGGAACCTACCCGTCGTGATGCCTTGCTCTCCCTGCTGAGCTTCCCTCTGGCAGCATCGCAGCTGGGATCCGGCGCATCACCGGCGCTCGCGTTCACCGCCCCTCCGCCCGGCTACCGGCTCCTCGTCGACAAGCTGGACGGATACAGCTTCATCTGCCCCGAAAACTGGATTGTTGTAACATCCTCGGGCAACGATGTGTTTCTGCGGAACCCAAAGAGTGTGGAGGAGAACCTCTTCGTGGACATCACATCCCCATCGTCGTCGCGCTTCAAGTCCGTGAGCGATCTGGGCTCGCCGGACGACGCAGCGAAGCGCCTGCTGGACCAGTACCTCACGAAGGAGTTCATGTCGACCCGGCTAGGCATCGCTCGGTACGGCGAAATCGTGTCGGCCTCCAGCCGGGTGGCGGATGACGGCCAAACCTACTACGACATCGCCATCCGCATGACATCGTACGGCAGCAGGAACGCGTACGCAGCCACTCGGGCGGAGGTCCTTCGGGTGAGCGGGAGCGGGCCCTACTGCTGCCGGCACTGCTGAGGGGCCAGGGGCTGGGAGGCCAGGTGGCCACTAGCCACGGGGCTGCTGTTGAGGGGCGAGGGCCGGGGAGGGGACTGCGGCACACGGGTTGGAGCTCGGGGGGATAAGAGCGGAGGATTTACCGTCGAATCAGGCACATGGAGGGCCTGGGATATGCGAATCAGGGCGTCGAAAACACATCCGTATCAAGAAGCATGGGGCGGTGTCCCCAGCCCTGATCCATTTTCGAAAGCCCCGTTGGTGTAGGAGATATCGGCCCAGGAAGCCATCCAGCCTGCCCCGCCCAAATCGGGGCAGGCCTGGAAGCAAGTGCTCTTGAATGCCGGGTCCCGGGGTCCCTGCAGCCCGGGGCCCAACGTCTGATGTGGCGGATCAGCCGCAAATGCCCAGGGCCCAGGGAGAGGGAGCCGGGACCCCCACCCCCGCCCCCTCCCCCGGGGTGGCACATTGACGCACGGGGGCTTGCGCACGCGGCTGCGTCCGCGCAAGCCCTCTCCTCCCGCCGTCTTGTATGCTCCTGCCCCAGGCCACTGCCCCGCGCCCGCTGACCCACTTCAACCAACCCCCGTCCATCACAAACCCCCACTCGCCCGCCCGCTCGCACGCACACCTGCACCGGTGCACACCTGCACCGGTGCACACCTGCACCACTGGTACCGCCTCTCCTCCTCCGGCGCCGCCTCTCCTCCTGCAACCACGATAGAGGTCACGATTGTAGTTTGTAAGCTCCCGCACCGCACCTGGAGCGTTTCCATGTTTACCCGCCCCTTCCGCCCTGGTCTCATGTTTGCCCCGCCCCTTCCGCCCTGGTCTGTCCCGCCTCCCACTCCCCCGCCCCGCCCCCCTCAGGACTACTCTCTGGAGTGGGACCGCACCCTCAGCACCGTGCTGGGTGTGGCCAACAACCGCCTCTACACGCTGCGCCTGCAGACGCCCTCCCCGGAGTACGAGCGGGACGGGGCCACGCTGGCCGCCATCATGCAGTCGTTCCGGTGCAAGGAGGTGGACGTGTGAGACCAGGGAGAAGAGGGCTTTGGGGGAGGGCTGTGGAGAAGGAAGGCGGGGCGGGGGTAACCGGTGTTGAAGTGCGAGCTGGGGGAAGGGGCGGGAAGAGGTCGAGGGAATCGGGTACGGGAGTGGGATGGGACGGGACCGGCGAGCCGTGCTGGGGCGTGGAGTTGGGCCGGTGGTGGGTGAGGGCGCCGCCCGCGAGCGCGCGCGGCTGGGGCGGCTGTCCACGTGTGTGATCTGCGGCCGGCATCACGTGCTCGTGCACTGCTGCGAATTGACGTAAGGATTCGGTGCTCGGTTCGCGCACCCCCTGCAGTGTGGTGTGGGAGCACCATGCCTACAGCAGGGCCCTCCTGTTGGTTGGAAGGGGCTTGTCGTCGTTGGTTTTAAGAAGAGGCTTGAGGAGTCGGACGAGGCAGGTAGGCAGGCAGGGAGGAAGGCAGAGAGGGAGGGTCCGGGCGGGGGGACCAAATGCGGCCTGGGGACCCTCGGCGCGTTCGGCTCCGTGACGGCCATGCACAAAAGTGGTCGTTATCCACATCGGATGAGGTCGCCAATGCAAGCGGCTTGATCATTTCGGATGGTTTGGCGGACTTCGTGAAGTTATCCGTTCCCCGGGACGTAAGGCTGCCGACCGGGCGGCGAACGCAGCAAGGGGCCGGTGGGTAGTCGCGGGCGGGCGGGCGGGCGGGCGACAGCGGGGGCTGCACTGCGGGAAGCAATGGGTGGGAAGGGTGCGGGCCGTGGTGTGGGCCCAAACGGGCAAAAACAGACGCCGTGTGCGGCGTCGGCAACATCCTTCGCAGGCAGCGACAGACAGCGTGCGTGACACGGTACTGATCCCCTCCGTTGAATCTCGCAGCAGTCGGGATACCGGTGGGCCCGCGTGGCGTCTCTTCAGTTTCCTGCGTGCATCGTATGTAAGCGAGCGAGTCAGGCCTCAGGCGGGGGCTTCATTTGAAAGCCTCCAATGAAAGCACGGCCGCGGCAGCGGATGATGAGGTCTGCTCTGCAGGGATAAGGGGCAAAGCACAGCCGTGGACGGGAGCGGTGCAAGGGGCTTTCGAGGACGGGAGCTTCAGACGGCTCCTCCAGGGTCCAGGCAGGCGTGAAGGTGCGTGCCCCTGTAGCGCTTGCGGGTCGTTGCACAGACCCGAACATTTAAGAGTCATGATGGGCGGCCAACCAGCCCCACGCTGCGCACCGAAAACGTCGACCCAAGGAAACAAGGATAAATGCTGTTGTCGGCAGTTCCATGTGCCTTGCATGTGCTGATACGGTACGATGCCTGGATATGGAGCAGTTGGTTGCAGGAATCGCGGCGAGACCCTGCTGCCCGGGCTGCCGTGGAAGCCCCTGCAGGCGCACATTCCTTACGAAACAACGAAAGCCTGAGACACAACTCTTTTGCGGATGGGCCGCCGTCATGCGTTGTGATCATTGGGTCCACCCAGAACGCATGCCGGGAGCATGGTTTGCCATCCATCCACGGGTGGGCAAGCTCGCATCCCTTCAATAACAAGCGGCAGGTGTCGTGCATCGTTGGTGGCTGGGACCTGGGAGATATCTGGGTCAGCATGACAGTTGGAGGCTTGGGCCGCAGACGGACGGACGCTTTTGGTTGGGATCTATCGCGCTGAGACCCAGGGTCACTCCCTGGCTCCGGAACCTGATCTGTCGTACTGCTCGTCCAGAGCGAGTCCTACCTAGGGCCCCATCCAGCAGCGGACGAGACGCGAGTGGGGCGCCCGCACTCGTCAGCGGGCACCAAAAGCTGCATGCACCAGCGCAAAATCCGAATCACAATCCATAACACGCTCAACGACGGCCCCCCTCCCCGAATCATCGTTCTATACCTCCCGAGACGCATCCATAAGGTCCACATCCGGAACCAACCCCGGAAGTGCGGCTCGTTTTTAAACCCTAAGCCCAACTCGGATCGGACCGAGATCCCAACTCTGGCCCAGTCAAACATTCAGAGTCGCTGCGTGGCAAGGCGCGGACATTGCTTACTAACGAGAGGAGCTTTATTCTTCATTCACCTCTGTGGGCATTCGTTGGGCACCACAGATGCGGCGGGCGGCGCGGCGCTAGCAAGCTGACACGGCCGCGCAACCAGCCGCAGGTGCAGAGAGGAGGAGCCTCAGTGTGGGCGTCCAGTGCAGTGTGTGGCATCCTCAACCCAACACGACCAACCACCATACGCAAACGGTTGTTAAAACCCATGCCAAAGTACTGGCATATTCCCCATTACTACCATTATGGCACTCTCTTCTGCGCTCGCGTGGTGTAGTGGTCATCACTGTGGACTTTGAATCCACCAACCCGAGATCGAGTCTCGGCGCGAGCTTTTGCATTCTTAGATCCCGGCCTCTTCCCTTGTGCATCGTCGATGCCTCTGCTGCTATAGGAGCCGTTGTTGGCGCTACTGCTGCTGCGAGCCAGCTACGGGATAAACGTGGTTAGTCCGGAGCCTGATGGGAGAGGAGGGTTAAGGGTTTTAGGGTTTAGGGTTTTTTACCTTCAAACCCGTTAACCCTTTAACTGCAACTGCAACCGCAACCACTGCCGCAACCGCAACCTTAACCGCAACTGCAACCGCAACCGCAACTGCAGCCACAACCGCTCGCGAAGTGTAGTGGTGATCATTGTGGACTTTGAACCCCCCAACCCGAGGTCGAGGCTCGGCGCGAGCTCTTGCATTCTTAGATCCCGACCTCTTCCCCTGTGCATCACCGATGCCTCTGCTGGTTTAGGAGCCGTCGTTGGTGCTGCTGCTGCTGTGAGCCAGCTACAGGATATACGTGGTTAGTCCGGAGCCTGATGGGAGAGGAGGGTTAAGGGTTAAGGATTTCAGGGTTTAGGGTTTTTTTACCTTCAAACCCGTTAACCCTTTAACCGCAACCGCAACCGCAACTTCAGCTTCAACCGCAACCGCAACCGCAACTGCAACCGCAACCTCAACTGCAACCGCAACCGCAGCTACAACCGCTCGCGTGGTGTAGTGGTGATCACTGTGGACTTTGAATCCACCAACCCGAGTTCGAGTCTCGGCGCGAGCTTTTGCATCCTTGGATGTCCCGACCTCTTCCCTTGTGCATTACCAATGCCCCTGCTGCTATAGGAGCCGTTATTGGCGCTGCTGCTCCTGGGAGCCAGTTACGGAATGTACGTGGTTAGTCCGGAGCGAATCGAGGGTTTTAGGGTTGAGGGTTATTTAACCCTAAACCCTAAAACCCTTTCACCGTAACCGCAACCGTGACCGCCACTGCAACCACAACCTCAACCGCAATTACAACCGCCAATCATAACCATAACCGCAACCGCAACCGCAACCGCAACCGCAATCGCAACCGCAACCGCAACCGCAACCGCAACCGCAACCGCAACCGCAACCGCAACCGCAACCGCAACCGCAACCGCAACCGCAACTGCAACCGCAACCACAACGCAACCGCAACCGCAACCGCAACCACAACGCAACCGCAACCGCAACCGCAACCGCAACCGCAACCGCAACCACAACGCAACCGCAACCGCAACCGCAACCGCAACCGCAACCGCAACCGCAACCGCAACCGCACCACAGCCGCAACTGCAGCAACCGCAACTCCAACGACCAGCATCAGCCTGGGCGGTGCAGCCCCTGGAAGAGCGCGGCTGGCGGGCCGCTGCTCTATTGCCGGCTGGGTGTGGGTGCTGGCAAGCTTCCGGCGGGGCACAGACCGTACATCGGCGTACCTCCGTTGCGCTTGCACGGTGGCAGGACGCTGCAGCGCTGTCAGGCGCCGCCTCCATCACGGCCACTATCCCATCGCTGGCCGCGCTCGCTGCTCGGTAGGGAACCGAAGCGCCTGCCGCTGGCATTGGCTACGTGTGACCCTGCTGGCGCTGCACCATCCAGGATGGCCGCAGCAGCACCCCACGGCCTCTTGCAGCACGTGCAGCAGCGGTGCCCCTGCCGCCGGCGGCGCGCGTCGACACCGTCAGCTCCTTCCGCTGGGGCAAGTACCTGTCGCTGCACTCGCTTAACCTGCCAGCGGCTGCGTCGACGGCGGCGGCGACGGCGGCGGCGGTGACAGCTTCGGATCCACGCTACAGCCGAGACGCGCTACAGCCGAGACGCGCAACAGCTGGGTGACAGTGAAGTGAAAAAATGTTGTTGAGACAGCGCTGGGTGAAAATGCTGGTGCTCGGCAGCACTCTGTTGGAGAACGAGCCGCTCATGTTCGGTATGTACCGAATCTGTGACTGGATGGATATGGCAGGGTTTGCGAAGACAGCAGGGGCTACGGATACGGCAGGGGTTGTGGATACAGCAGGGGTTACGGATACTGCAGGCGTTACGGATACGGCAGGGGTTGTGGATACAGCAGGGGTTACGGATACGGCAGGCGTTACGGATACGGCAGGGGTTGTGGATACAGCAGGGGTTACGGATACTGCAGGCGTTACGGATACGGCAGGGGTTGTGGATACAGCAGGGGTTACGGTTCGGCGCCTTCCTGGTGGGCACGGCGGACTTCGACTCTGCAGCCGCAGCCGCAGCTGAAGCACCTGCGGACTCCCCATAATCGTGGCGTAGGTACACGACCAAGTGCACACAGCACACAAGGGAACAGGTGCCTGACCTTCTGAGGGAAGGCACCCTATCCGCCTATCGTCGTGGGTCATCGCAGGGCAGGGTGCGCATAGATGCGGGATAAAAATGGCCGCACGAGGTACGCGAGGAGGTGACCCACGGGACGGTCGGATGTGATACATTTGGGTGGCCGGACGGCTCAAACCAAGGCAGGCTGTGTTCCAACACGCGAACACAGCCTGCCTTGGTTTGAGCCGTCCGGCCACCCAACTGTATCACAGTTGGCGACGTGGCCGTGGCGTCCCGGCCCCAGGGGCCTGTGCGGCGCTCTAGGCAACTGCCGGCGCCCATCACATTTGGGCTGCTGGGCGCTGAGCCAGGCGCAGTGCACCACCAAGAACGGCGACGCGGCACCATGCGACCTAAGCAGCGGCTTCTGGCGCCCGCTGCAGCTTCTTGGTCGGGCGCTGAGCCCCGTCTACACGGACTACACGGCCGACGCCGTGGAGTCACGCAATCACACCGCGCGAGCAGCCATGGCAACGCGATGGCAGCCGTGGGGCGCCGTACCATGCTTCGGTTCCGATGATGATTACTGGGTTGAAGGGCTCGGTAGGTGCTCGGTAGGTGCTCGGTAGGTGCTCGGGCCCCACCACGTGGGCCCCACCAGCTGACCACGGTACCTTCCCTCCCTCGGTGTTACACCGCCACAGGCCACACCCTGCACGGCGCCGCTCAAACGTCCACATACAACTATCTACCGGTATCTATCTATCTATCTGCATATCTCCACATATCGCTTCAGGCACACATGCGCACACCACGCCCGGCGCGAGACGAGTCCAGAGGTGGATACTCTGCTCTGGTGCTGATGAGCGCATCCGGACTCCGAGCCGCGGAGGCTGGCCCAGACAACCGTTCCCCCAGGGGCGCACCGGTACGGCACTGTCGTCCAACACCACAGTTAGCACTCCACGCAGATGCTTAGGAGGGCTTGAGTGGCGGCCCACACCCACACCCACACCTACACTGTCTGTGCTGCTATGGCTGTTTGGCGATCCACCCTCAACCCAACGTGACCCGTCAAGTTTGAATCTCGAATACCGGTACTCGGGCCGGGTCGGCGCTCGGTAGGAGGCCCAGCCTCTGCAGGCCTCAGCGGGGCTCCGAAACCAGGTCAGTCACACCCGGGAGCGCGCGCCAATGGAGCACGCATGCCCCGGGCGCCGAAACCAGGACCCCAGGGCCGTTCTTCATCGCCGTACATCAAGAACCGCTCACGACGGGCCCCGGGAAGAGAGACACACACACACGCACACACACGCACGAAGACCAGCTGTACCCGCAGCTGGCAATGCAATGCAATGTGTGCGGCAGTTGCCGACAAACCCGCACATACCGTAACGCCATAACGGATTCACTCAGACCACCACCACACCGGCGCCGCCGACGATCTGTCCCCCGCAAGACGCCTCCGCGACCCTCCACGACCACGGGAACGGGAACGGAAGCCCCAGCGCATCCTCGATGTACAGAGGGTCAAGTTGAGCGGTGTCATCGCGGTGCCAGCTGCTGCTGCTGCTTCTGCTGCTGCAGCTCGCACGCAGGCAGCCACATGCGTCCCATCCCCATCCCCCGCACACGCAAAGTTGCGCTTTAGTTTGCCCACCTGGCCACAACTGCTGCGTTGCACGACCCTGCAGGCCCGCTGACTCTGCCCCTTGTCTGTCAAGACAGCACCAAATATCAAGATCACAAATTCCAAGCCATATTGGCTGTTGAAGTCGTCTAGGCAGTGGCTAGCCCACGGGGAGAGGCGTCGCCTCTGTTGCTCCGCTGCGGGTCCTCTCTTTCCCACCCACCCACCCACCCACCCACCCACCCACCCACCCACCCACCCACCCACCCACCCACCCACCCACCCACCCACCCACCCACCCACCCACCCACCCACCCACCCGCCCACCCACCCACCCACCCAGCCAGCCACCCACCCAGCCACCCACCCGGCCACCCACCCAGCCACCCACCCAGCCACCCCACCCACCCACCCACCCACCCACCCACCCCACAGTCACAGAACCGGCGACCCTAGGGCCCCTGTCAGTCGCGGGAGGGACCTGTCTGTCAGTCAGTCAGTCAGTCAGTCAGTCAGTCAGTCAGTCAGTCAGTCAGTCAGTCAGTCAGTCAGTCAGTCAGTCAGTCAGTCAGTCAGTCAGTCAGTCGTCGTCCCAGGCGGCTGCCAGCTTCTGTTCGCGCTCCCGCCGCGCTTCCCTGGCAGCCTGAAGGGGGGGGAAGGGGAGGGGAGGGGAGAGAAGGGGGGTGCGGAGCAGTGCTGACAAGGGGTCGACAACGGCACCTCAGACATCAGGTAAAGTAAGGTAAGGTCGGACGGACATCAGGTAAGGTACCCTACCTTGCCCTGCCCCCCTACGGCACGTCGGGACCAAACCGGTTCCCCACTTCAACGCCCTCACCTCCCGCCCACCCCTCCCGCCCTCATCTGCCCCCCTTTCCTTTGCCTCCCGGGTTCTGCGGCATCTAGAGCAACACCAGTTCCTTGCGCCGCACCCGATGACCCCCACCCAGCAACCCCCCTTCCTCTTCCCCGGGGCCCTCATACTGTTTCTTACAGCCTCCTTTCGCTCGCCCCTTCGCGCCAATCCCAACACACCCAATCCACAGACCCCCCTCCCAACACCCCACACACACGGCGACGCGGTCGCTGCGCTTTTCAGCTCGGTAAGGTTACAGGTATGTTCGGTAAGTATTGCTGGATTCTGGGTCCGTTCGCTCACGCCGTCTCCTTCTCCGCTGCGATTTTCTCTTTATACACCCCTCCCTCCCACCTTTCTCTGCTCCGCGAGGTCCTTCTCCGCGTCTCGATCCCTCAACTGCCTCATCCCCAGGGCGTGACTCAGCAACCGCTTGGCCACTGCAGCTGTGGTCTTGGGACGCTCGCGAGGGGGGAGCAGGTCTGGGGGTGGCGGGGGTTGGTAGGGTGGGGTTGGAGTGGTGGCGGTAACAAACAAGATGATGGGGAACCAAAAAGTGCAGGCCCGAACCCAACCCCCCATTCGCCCCCTGGCAGGCTGGTCGGTGGCGACCTCGCCCCCACCTCTCAACGGTTGGTTGGGAGGCTCCCCACTACCGCTGACAAATGGCTGCGCGACGGCTGTCCAAGCTGCAACCGCAGCGGCACTGGCCCCACCCCACCCCCCCTGAAGCGGCACTGGCCCCGCCCCCCTGGAGCGGCACGTTGAGTTCCTCCCTCTCGCCCTCCCCGCGGTTCCACCTTTATTACTGTACTCCCGCCCTCCCTCCCCGGCTCGAGTCCCCCTCCCCTCCGAGTGCTGCGGCTTCATAAATGTTTCTACCCCTGTTCCCCGCTGCAGCGGACACCGCACAAACACGCACAAACATACACACACACGCACAAACATACACACGCACACACACGCACACGCCAGCACACACAAG